CCCCCATGCCTCAGTGTTCCGGCCTATAGAATGGGGGTGCTGAGGGTTGCTTATGACAATTGTGCTCCTGGAGGCTGGTTGTGAGAGTGCCAGGGCCACATGTGTGCATCTCCTGGAGTGGCGCTTGCACCTCTGAATCAGGGTTGTTCATTCAGTGAATTCTCCGTGCTTCCTCGGGCTGCCACAAAGACCACAGCTGGGTGGCTTAAAGTGACAGAAGTTTATTCCCTCCCTGTTCTGGAGGATGGAGGTCTGAAATCAAGGTAGGAGCAGGGCCACACTCCCTCTGAGGGTTCTGGGGAGGGTCCTTCTAGCCTCTTCACTAGCTTTAGCAGGTGTGGTCAGGATGTTTTGGTCCCCCAAAGTTCCTATGTTGAAATCCTCACCCTGACAGTGATGGTGCCCTTCTGTCCCTTGGGGTGGGGCCTTTGGGAGGTGACTAGATCATGGGGTGGGGGCCTCATCAATGGGGTCAGTGTCCTTTTAAGAGAGGTCCCTGGTCCCTTCCACTGGGAGAGGACACAGCAAGAAGGCCCCATCCACAAACCAGCCAAAGAGTCCCACCGGACATTGAGTCTGCCGGCACCTTGACCTTGGCCTTCCAGCCTCCAGAACCGTAAGAAACAAGTTTTGTTGTTTATAAACCCCCAGTCTCTGGGGCTCTGACACAGCAGCTCTGGGCGTCAGTTGCTGACTTTGTTTTCACATCTCAGGGCTTCTCCCTGTGGGCTGAATGTCGTCATTTCCAAACCCTATCTTTACAATAAGTATCATTTGCTTATTTTATTCATGAAAAGTAAGCCATTCACTGTAGGAAATTTGGAAACTCCAAGAAAAAATGATAAGAAATTCCCTCAAACCCCTCTCCTCCAGTCCAGGTGCGATTCAGCCTGCATCCTAACTTGACCTTGGCAACCAAGGGGTGGGGGGTCAGAGGTTTGGATTTGGGCTTGTCACTGGCCCTCAGGCTTGCCTGGGCTGTGTCAGCGGGTCCTTGGTGGGCTCATTGACAGGTGTTTCAGAGGGGCCTCGTCTTCCCTGTGTCCACCTGTTACTAATGTTTCCTAATGAATGAAACCAAGGCCCAGCCTCGTCTGAGGAGATGAAGGTTCTGGACATTTCCTCAGGGCACCTCTCTCAGCTCTCAGGGGTCTTCAGAGCTAGAGAGAACCCAGGAAGCCTCTGGGTTTGGGAAGTGGGGAGGGGGCACAGCGGGACAGAGAGGCCCATCTTCCTAGAGCCAGGAGGGCAGCTTTGTCCTGGTGCCAGACCAAGTTCAATCTGTCCTGAGCATTCCCTGTGTGTAGGACCTCATGTCCCTGCCTGGGGAGGTGGCCGTGAGGGACGCAAGCCTGTGGGGCTGAAGTCACAAGTGCACTGATAGGACAGCCGAAGCTGCAGACACACACCCTCTCATATTCTGGAGGTTGGAAGTCCGTGGGCAAGGGGTAGAGGGGCCAACGCTTTCTGAGGCCTGTCCTTGGCGTATGGACAGCGTCTGCCCCTGGGGCTTCACAGGCTCGTCCCCCTGGAGGTTTCTGTCCCCTCTTCTTATTAGGGTGCCAGTCAGAGCAGATCAGGGCCCATTCTAGTGACCTTGTTTTAACTCAAAGACTCTGTCTCTAAACACAGTTTCAGGAGGTCCTGTGGGCTAGGACTTTGACATATAGATGTTTTAGGGGACACAAGTCAGTTCATAACGAGGGCACTTGTGCACTACACACCTGGCTCCTCCCCAGGCCACATTTTTGGGTGAGAATTCTGCCAAAGTAAAGGTGAGGCTGCACACCCCCTGCACTCCCACTGCAGCAGGGCAGGAAGACCACCTGAGGACAGGGGGGGATGCTGAGTCCCCACGCACACCCTCCCTGGCCCCTCCTGACTACTGATGGAGAACACCCCCCACTGAGAGCCGGAGTGACAAATTTAACTGCCCCTTAGAGTTCAGATCTCTCAGGCCAGGCCTGGTGGCACACACCTGTGGTCCTTGCTACTCAGGAGGCAGAGTGGAGAGTTCGCCTTGAGCCCAGCTGGGTGACAGTGAAATGCTGTCTTAGAAAGAAAATATTTTGACTTAGATTTGTAACCCCCACATTGGACACTGAAAGAGCAGTGAGAGAAAGTGCAACTTTTCCAGTCACCTGCCCCTTCAGCCCTCTCCTGGGGGGAGGGAAGCTCAGCCCGGGGCCCCACCTCGACGCGAGAGGAGAACATGGTGCCAGAGCCGCCTGGGAGCCAGAAGTCTCCCCGTGGGTATTTGTCTGGAGCTAAGTATTTCACATGTCTGGTGTCCACCCAACCCTCACCTGGTGTGAGTCCTGCTTCCTGGTCCCCCTTGCCACTTAGCTGCAGAAGCCAGAAAGCAAAGTGGCCACATTGGCTTCAGCTGCTACCAACGAAGGACGCCGCAGACAGTAATCGGAGTATGAAGTGGGTGGGGTCTTTGGCCAGAGGACACCACTTGGGTGCCCGTGGTAGAGACTTCTCCTCACTTTTCTCCTCACATGGAGGGCCAGAGCTGGAATCCCAGGAGGCCATGGCCTTTGACAGGCAGGGTCGGGGCCCTAGGAGCTGCCTCTCCTATCGGCCCTTCATCAGCTTCAGCTGAGGTGATGTGATTAGATGGCAGACTTGTTGAGACCTGCCAGACCCAGTCCTGACACACGTATCATTCCTTGAATTGCTAGTGAAGTTCTTGGGGGGAAAAATCCGATTTGGATGAACACGGTGATGAAGGTGTGGCTGGCAGGATGGTGCTGGGCCCAGCGCAGGCCACACTCTTTCTTGATTTTCATGGTCTTCTTGGAGGGTCGTCCTGCTCTGATGTGCGGTGTCTGGGTGGCAGCCCCAGCCCCAGCATCTCCAGCCTCGTTTTGGAAAGCACTGGGCATCCTGGCTGCCTGACCCCAGGCGTGTGGCTGGGCTCTGGACGTTCTTGTCCTTTATGTGCTCTGAAACCCGACTGCTGGGAGGAAGGAACGTTCCCTCAGAGGTGCCTTGTCCTAATGGTGCTGCCAGGCCACCCCAGGGGCACCTTGGTCGGTGGGCTGTGCTGGCAGGGCTCCGTCTTCTGGGGGGGTCTCTCCATTTGTAGGCCCCCTGCTTTTGCTTGTCCACCCCCAGGGCTGGGTGCTGTAGCATGAGGGGGCTACTCAGGGGCACGGGCACGCCTGGCTCACTGCACCTTCGGGGCTATCTGCAGCCACCGATTCAGCTGATACATGTGGGTGTTTGGGGGGCAGCTCTGAGCATTCAGGCTGACCAGGGTGGACAAGGCCTCAGACCATGGGGCCCTGGCGGCTGCTCTGTGCAATGGGAGGGTGACTGGTGGGATTTCTCTGCAGCCTGAAGGGAGGGACCGGCACCTGTGGGGGTGACTCCAGCTGGGCCTCATCAGCCTGGCTTGGCCTCCTGCAGCACAGAGAGAAGCATTTTCAAAGCAGAAGCCTCAGGAGGCCTCTCGTGGGGAGCTGGATGCTCCTGCACCAGTTCCCGAGGGACCCCATTGATGGAAGCCAGGGTTACACCAAAGTCAGGGCCCATCCAGGATGCTGCCCAGACCTCATCCTCTCCTTACACGCTTGTTAGTTGTGGGTTGGGTTGTTCCAGGACATGGTGCAGCCCCAAACCACACCAAGTGCACTGAAGTGGGGGTGTGTGCAAGTAGGTATCCACGGGGGCACCTGTGTGACGCTGTGTTTCTTGTCTGCAGCTGTGCGTCTTTGCAAGTGTGAAGTTCAAGGAAGCATCGATGGTGCTTCCTAAGGGCCAGGCTGGTGATGTTGGCCTCACGGTAAGTGAGCATGTCAGAGAACTCTCTTACTGATGAAGAGGGCAGATGATAAACCTTTACATAGGACCTCATGGAGGCTGCGGGCATTAGTGTCCACACACCCCTTTTTTTGAGACTGAGTCCTACTTGGGTGCCCTGAATATAGTGCCATGGCATTAGAGCTCACAGCAAACTCAAGCTCTTGGGCTCAAGTGATGCTCCTGCCTTAATATTTCCACATGTAGTAGAGATGGGCTTTTGCTCTTGCGCAGGCTGGTCTCGGATGCCTGAGTTCAAGTGATCCACCCGCCTCAGCCTCCCAGAGTGCTAGGATTACAGGTGTGAGGCACCATGCCCACCATGCCCACCCTC